ATATATATATATATATATATATATATATATATGTATATGTATATGTGTGTGTGTATATATATATATCTGTATATGTATATATATTAAATTTTAAATCATATTTAAAAAATAATGTTAAAAAATAAATAATTAATTAAATGATAAATAAAATTGACGAATTTTTTTACTATACAACTATTTTCTCAATTCAAGTCTTTCTTAAAATATATGTATCTAAAGCCATTTGTATTTTCTTTAAACCGAATGCAATGTCATTCCTAATTTTTTGCAACGTATACATTACTTTTGTGTGTGCATGTGTGTGTATATATATACACGGCAAGAGCGACAGCCCCTTCATGTGAGGGGGTTGTAACCGTACTGTACAATGAGAATAAACCATATATATAGCTCCCGTTGGTTAGCAATTTTTCACCAATTTCATTATTTCAACTGTCATTCTTTACTCTTCACTCACAGGTGGGACTCACTTTTTATCTCTAACAATTGAAAAATCAATTCTCATAAACACTATCGAACAGGCGCGCGCGCACTCACACACACATATATATTATTTTGCAAAAGGTAATAATTCTTAGTTAAAACATTTTATTAAAATGTTTTTTACGTATTCTAGACTAGAAAGTTTCATCAAGTTTTTTTTATTTGACAGAATGTCTAGATGATACAAAATTCGTTGGGGGAGGGGGGGGAGTAATTCATCTAAGCATTCTTGTCAACTTTGCCTAGTTTGATAAGAATGTCTAGAAACTTTGAAATTTGTACAAAAAAATAAGGGGAATTTGGTACATATTTGAAGTAAGAATTGACAATTTGTCAAAAATATTCAGAAAATGAACATTTTTATAAATCGAAAAGTCATGAACAAAATTCTTTTTCTCACTTTAAAAATGTCGTACAAGATAAATTTCCTGCACGGGGACTGCACTGAAATATAATGGTGCCTACACTTTTTTTTTTTAATATGAGAATGGTCTGAGCCATCGAGCCATATCTTGAATTAAAAATAAATAATAAAAGGTTTTATTTTCATCCAATATGTGAAAGGAATTAGCCTAGCATAATATTGGAATTAAACAAAGAAAGGATAAAAAATATCATCGAAAATCGAGTGATTAATGTTTCAAATTAAAGTTGTCATCTTTTTCCCATGGATACCCAGGTTTCTTCCTTGCTTCTGCCGTGTGTTCATATATATATAAATTTCCCTTGCAGCCAATTTGTTTTCAATTTTCAGCCTTGCTTTTCTGCCTTTTTCTTTCTTCAATCTTCCGGCTGCCGTTTTGTTTGTATGGATAAAGATATTTATATAAAATCTTGTTAAAATCGTATACTCACTCTCACAAAATTAGCAGACCCCGTGTGAATTTAAAAGAGTCAGTTTGTGATCCCCACCTCCATTGTGAGTAGTAAATAAAGGAGTTTGTCAAAAAAGTTTGTATATGTAACATGACCCTCGTATGTATATCTCCTTTATTCTCTTCAATATTTGGCTCCAAAAGAAAAGCCCAATTTTCTCTCTTCTCGTGCTCTACCCGCCGTCAATGTTTCTGTGCGTGTATATATTATTAAAGCCACACAGTCTTTTCTCCCCTTAATTCCTGCTGCCGATGTGTGTGTGTATATATATATATTATATTTTAGCAGTCAGCCACCCATCTGTATTTTATTCCCAAAGCAGCATAAATTCCTCTTCTTGGCTCCCGGCTGCTGCCGACTTTTGTGCCTGTGTATGTTATCAGCTTGTTTGGAAGCGATTTTTTGTTCAAAAAAATGATTTTTTGATCGTTATTTTACTATTTCAGCCGTCATATTTGACTTCTTCTCTCACAGATGAACTCCACTTTTCTCCCAACAATCAAAAAATCAATTTTCAAAATCACTCTCAAACAGGCTCTATATATAATTTCAGCCAAAGCAGCCCTTTTTTTGTCAGTAGGAATCCAAAGTGGCTGCAATCTTTTTCTCCTAATCAAATTCCAATTGTTCTCCTTATTTCCAGCGCCAATGTTGTATATATACATGTGGAAACTATTATTTTATTTAATTTCAAATATTACTTTTTAACATTATTTTTTCAGACCCTTTGAGCCCCATTATTTCTTCATTAAAATGAAAAATATGATCGTTATTCATTACATCAAGTCACCATATTTGACTTTATATCTTTTGTTTGGAACCCTAACGACTATATTTTTCATTCTTATTTTTACAATAATATGGCTCAAACGGAACTCAATAATTAATATAAAATTATAGTAAAAATAAAAATGTAAAAGTTAACTAAATCATACAAGCAATAATTTTGGTTGTCAATATTACTTCCCCAAACACACCCTTTAACATAGTTGACCAAAATCACAATCCCCTAAATTTTACTTTTACAGTTACAGTGCAAATCGTCCCCTAATTTCGCATTATCAGATAATTTGATATGTAACAATTCAAGTAAATGGAATTATTCACACCAATAGAAACCATGGAAATTGCAGAAATACATTATATTGTTTCGTTACAAAATGAATTATATGTTTTTTGTAATATCTTTTCAGTTGTATATAGATTTCCAATGAAGAATTGAATATAGCAGTGCGAGTTAGAATTCGAAATCCAGACACGTTTGCGAAGAAATCTATTCATTAAGATATTTGCTGAAGATGATGTTTCAAAGTATAATTTGTGCAGAAGAAATGATATTCTCTAGCAACATTTGATTTGGAATATTCATTTACTGCTGAACATGAATTTTGCTGAATTTTAATTGCATCAGTTACAAAATCTGTTTTGGTAACTTGAGGCCCATGTAATGTGTATACTTTTCTTCAAGCTCTCCATTCTTTTAAAATAATGCAATTTAGTCTTTTTCAAATTCAAACTTGTGGAATCGCCCTTCTTCTTTTTCAATTGTTTCCAACAAGTCAATCGCTAAAAACAAAAAGAATATTAACCTAAGTAAAATAAAAATTAATAATTGGACGACTTAAAAGTTTAATAATGTGAGCTAGAGCAATGTATGAGTGCAAACAATTTAGAAAAATTAGAAAATTGAGAATACGGGAAATATTCAGATAGAACTTTCAAAATCTCAATAAAAAGCTAACAATTTCGATTCAGTAGAAAAGAAAATGGAGAAAATGATATTTATGAGATCGTTGTGTCGATCGATTTGCCGAAGATGGCTATCTTCACATGACGAGTTAAACCAACAATAAAGATCAAATAATTAAGTTATGGTTCATTTAAGTTCTCTAGCTTTGAGCAATAAGCCTATACGACGAGAGCTATTATAATTTCGTCCTTAAGGTCAAATGTTTGTGTTGTTGAAGTAAAATGTCCTATTTAACAACATGGAAACCCGAGAACAAGAGGCCACTCAAGTCCAGCATTATAGAAGGCATCCGAGGTGAACACAAAATCTCGCACTCAACTGTAAACAGCGGGCGCAACAATATGGCCCATTGGCCCTAAACTCAATTGGACAGAGGGGGAACAATGACGTCTTGAAGATCATTCTTCCCTACGATTCTCTGCTTGCTGTCTTGTAGTTGGATAACTTTGGCTTCATGTTTTCCACTACTTTAAAGAATTAGATAGACTACGAAAGCTGGAATCATGGAAATGACAAATAATTTTCTAATGTATCGAAAGAAAGTTCCTCTTTCGCGTAAAAAACACAGCCACAAAAATATCGATGCAGACATATTCTGATGAACACAGAATAAGAGAGGAAAAGAATAATGATGGAAGTATGACAAAAAGCCATCAGTACACCACATAAAGTAGTCTGGATGTACCAATTGAATCAATTGGATGACTTGTGAAGCTGTTGGGATGTAAGAGAAATAAGAGACTGAATCTTAGCAACAGCAGACGTCTTATCAGGTGGGCACTTGGAGAGAGCAATATTTAATGAGTTGACAGCCTCGTCTAGCTTCCCTGCAGCCATGGAAGCTAACCCTTCCTTGTAAGCTTCATCAGCCAATCGAGCATCATATTGTGAAGTCAGCTTTCCATTAGAGTTTATGTTCTTTGAGACAGAGGCAGATCGAGATTGTAAGAAAGCAGTAGAACGAGTGTACTCAAGAGACGTAATGGCAGAATTAATCTCAGCCATAAGCACTTCAGGTGATGTTGAGATGGTCTTCACATCATCAAACATACTCCAGAGGGGTTTTTCTTCACCAGAACTCATTTCTATATTTTAATCTGAGTCACCAATTGTCACAAAACCAGAACCTTATGGCACGTAATGGCACACACAAGCTTTGCAGTAACCCTTGTCTCCATGATACAAAAAGAGGAGAAAGGAAGAAATGGTCAAGCCTCGAATTCCCTGGTTAAAGCTCGGTAAAATTCTTTGTCTAGTCCAGACCTGCAAAATCCTTGCTGCAGACAATAATATTTGTTAGCCAGAAGGGATTGAGCATAAACTGTGTGTTGCAGAAATGTTAAGCTCACGAACAAAACCCTATTATCTGAGTTATGCATGTCTCTTCTTCAGTAAGCATACAATTAATCTGAGTTGAATCCTTCTTAATTCATCAAAGAGCAACTATTGTTAAAAGAGAATAGCAATGAGCCCTAAACTTAATTACATGTCTGTCAAATTAAACCAACCAAATGTTGAATTGATTTTCATTTCCTATTAGATAGTAGAATGAACTAGACAATGACTACAATAATTTGCACTGTTGGTTCCCAACCTACAGCTCTAGTAGCAAGTTGATCCCCACCTTTTGGAGCATATTTGTCCTTAACCTTCCACAGCTGTTAAACAAGTAGTCCTGGTAGATGTTTCCTTCCAAAAGTTCGTTAAAAGTCAGTTACACCATTATCTCAAGAAACTCTCCCCCTCCCCCTACCAAAGGAGAAAAAATAATTCTAGTTTAAAACTGTTGCCGGCATTCGGAGAAGAAGGGTTTCAAGTGATAAAATGCAGGGCATTGTTATGGCCTTTACACACATGATTCTACATTTAAACCTAAACAGGTCAATATAGTATGGCAGATAATAGTGGCTAGTTTTGTCAGGATAGATGACTTAATAGTTTAAGATTGTAATCTTCAATAATCTGGTTCACTGCTTAAGGGTGCAGATGCAAACTCAAAGACCTGAAAATGCAATCCAAAACCTCTTAAGATGATGATCCCCTCAATAATGCTTCCAGTGAAAACAGAAGTCAGAAAATTTGTCAGTCAGCTTTTGTGCTACTTTTTAGTCTCTCAAGTTTGGCAGCCATGGTACAGACGGAGGAGCACGGCCAAGAACCAAAGTTTGGGGAGAGATGGGAGATAGATTGGCTAGGGTGCCGTGGCACGGCCAAGAACCAAAATTTTTCAGTAAAACATTGACTATTTAATGAATTTTGTCACAGAAATTGTCTTTTTAAACAAAAATCTCGTGTTAATGGTTGTGACCAACTTGCTACTAAAATACTATACGTTCAATAACTGCAATTTTTCCTAATTATTTTAAAACTATAGCATCAAAAGTGAACCAAGAAAGCAACTTCAATCTACACAAAAAATTGTAAGTATACAGTTTCCCTCTCACCTTTATAGAAGGATATTATTTCAAATTTAGTGGGAAATGAAACAAAACCAAGATCTGTGAAATAGAAAACCCTCCTTCCAAATATTTTAAGATACTACAGAATAGATCAATTAGTATACATAGATCACAAGTCGTTTACGGAAGTAATGAATGCGGGACTTGAGTACTGGTGCCTATTCTAAGGTCACGAATAATTATTAATGACGAGGTAATTAATAAAATTATCCAACCAAGAACAGCACAGATGTTCCATTTTGAATATTTACACCACCCATTTTGATCACCATAAACTTTTTGCTAATTAGAAAAGAGAAATCCTTCTTACTAAATGAATTTTCCAAATTGCATGCTTGAAACCCAATAGAAGAAACATCAAAAAGATCAAACTATAGACGAAATTAGGTGCAGAAATGTGTCAAAACCCTAATGTGTTGCTGATAGAAATCAAAGAACATACGCATTATATATGATAAAATAATTGCTGATAGAAAATCAATCGAAGAAGAAAGTTGTACCTTGGAAACTGAAGCAGCCGTTTAATCTTGCAATTGGTAGCTCTCATTCACAATCGAATTATGAGTCTTCGTTGAACTGTATTTACAGTTCCAAATTTCATCAAAAATCGTTTTTTTTTTAATCCTTTTCCCTTTTTTGTTTTTTGCTTTCAGGTGAGTTTTACGTTTGGTAATTGTCAATTGTGAGAGGTTAGGAAAGTGGGAGGTGACGTGGGTTAAATCTATTAATCCAACCAACTTTATATTCAGCCCACGTTTGAGCCCATCAAATTTCATCTCATTTTTTCCTCTCATATTTTCAATTACATAATTTTTCATAAAATAATATTACATATAAATCGAAAATTTTTCTTTCTTTTTCAATTACTTATTTTTAAAAAAAATACTATTTCACCGATTTTCATTTCAAAAAAAGGGGACAAACGGGAGCTAAATTTATAGTACATTTTTTCTCCATCTTCTTTTTAATCATATATTTTTCAATAAAATAATATTGTACATAAATAAAAAAATTCTTTCTTTTTCAACCACACATTCTAAAAAAACACTATTTCAAATAATTTGTTTTAACGGGGCTAATGGGGGCTTAATATCACTATAATCACTAAATTTAATTTTATTTCATCATGATCATCCAACTTTATATTTAGTGTCACCATGACCATCCAATTTTTATTTTATTTTTATCATGACCATCCAATTTTATATAATGTTTCACCATGATCACCTAATTTGATTTAACATTTCACCATGGTCATCTACTTTTTTTCACCATTGTCATTAATTTTAAAATGGGGTAAAATGATTATTTTGTAATTTTAGTTTATTTTTCTAAGTAACTTAAAAAAAAAATCAGTTATTATTATTTTTTCAAAGGAACCTTTTTTAAATAACTTTTTGTTTTTATTTTTCTGAGTTACTCGTTTTTTTTAAAATAATTGTTTATTTTATTTTAAAAATATTTTTTTAAATGAGTTTTTATTTTATTTTTCTATGTAAAATTTTTAAAATGAGTTTTTTATTTTATTTTTTTAGGTAAATTTTTTTAAAGAAATTTTTATTTTATTTTTTTAAAATAAGTTGTTGTTATATATATATATATGATCGGGATAAGGAAAAAGCATATGATATTAGAACTCACAGGTATAAGAGACAATAGATTAACTTACCAAGTAAAATATAGTATAGACATTTGATAGATTGTCTTATCAAGTAAAATATAGTATAGATATTTGTGGTTACTTTGAGGAAGATAATATAGTTGGAACCTGGAGTAAAGATTTAATTGAAATTTTAGAAATATTTAAAGTTCTTAAATATTTACCTTTGGAACTAAGAGAAAATATTGTAAAAAGAGTCTTAGTAGAAGAATACAGACATATTTTTATAACAGATCATATTGATTACGACTTAGAACTCTGGATATCAATAGAAAGCTTGAATTTTTAGATTTAGAAATTTTAAGAAATACTAGTAAAAAAGTACAAACAGTTGATAATAATATAATCAAGTGTAATTTAGACAATAAGCATAAATTACATAGTTTATTTTCAGAATAACCAAGTCAGAACTGTATAGTAGACTTAATCATAAATTTATCAAGAAATTTAGAATTAGAAAATAAAAAGCAAAATAGTTATTTAGAAATTATAAAAGAAAGTATTATAGTTAAAGATCAAGAGATTAGAAATATAAAATAATCTTTAGATTATATTAAAAATCAAAATTCAAGTATTTTAAAAAAACTTGTTAAACTAGAAAAAATACCATCTAAGACAGATTTAACAGAAATAAAAAGAATTTTAGATT